AGAAATGGTCAAAACAACAAGAGAATCAACATCAATTTTTTAGCAAAGCACCACCATCCAAACAGTGGATCCAAGTGGTTGATCATGATCCTCCATCTTCTACTTTCTTAGTTGCCTATAAATATGGGGGTTGTCTCTTCATTTGAAATCAGCTGGGAGAGAGAGAGTTAGAGAGAGACTTGTGAAGCTTAGGAGCTCCAGAAGAAATCCAAATAAAAGAGAAAGAAGAGAGAAAGTCATAAAAAGAATTCAAGATCCGGTCTATCCTACTCTCTAGTCAAAACTCTGTATTTTTACATTTTTGTTATGTCTTTCTATTTGGAGAATTGAACTGCCGCCACCTTTGTGCCTTAACTGATATTAAGGGTGATTATATTTCAATTGTTCCTTACGAAAGAAGTGTCAGTGTATGTATTTTATTTACTATTGTAATGGTAATTACCTGCACTTCTTGCTTGTCTATTGTAATGGAGTGTAAGTAGTTACTTATACCCTTCAGTAAGGGGTAAACACATATATAATATTAGTTAAACTATGGAAATACTGATGTTTTATTAAGCTCTGTGTGTGTGTGTGTATAAAGTGCTCATGGTTATGAACACTGAGTGGTATTTAATATTTTATACTATCTATTATTATGAACTTCATGCATAATACAGTGATGCACGTAATTAGGTGTTACTACGTAGCTTCGAATTATGTCATTAGTGAATCAGTAATCTGCCTGTTGAATATCTAATGTGTTCCAATAGTATGGCTTGACCTCTAGGTGCAGTGAATATGTTTTAACTGTTGCATGGTACAATTGTTAGATTAATAATCTAAGTAATCCTCTTGAACGGCTTGTCCTTCTGGATTACTACAGTTATTTAACTGATACAAGATATAAAAGTTGTTAGGTGAATAACCTAAATGATACTCCTGAATGGTTTGTCCTTCTGGATTATTTGGTTTATTTAACTGATACATACTATAGTAAAGTCAATTGAGTAATTCAAGTGATTTTCATGAATGGTTTGACCTTCTGGTTTACTTGGATTAGTCAATAGAAACATAATACCACCAGCTAACCTTAGAAGTTGATGTGATATAGTTTATATACATCAGACCTACCGGTTGACTTTCCAGTGACTTGGAAGTTAATTGTTATAAGATAGTATTTTTAGTACTTAACCAATATAAAACATATGAGATTCTTAATCTGAAAGGTACTTTTCATATTATTGTCTTTTAACAATCTATTTATACATTTCATTTACTTAGACTAGTTATTAATCTAATTAAGCTCACATCGCTATCTTATGTTATACTGCTTTAACAATAACTTCATTGTTCTTATTTTTAATTGTAATTATTAAAACTCTTCGTGGGATCGATCTTAGACTTAAACCAAGAAAACTAGAATTTGATTACTTATACTTGGGTGTATAATATAAATCAGATCACGAAATAAGTTTGAACCAGTATTTATATGATAATCCAGCTTAAAAAAATCTAACACCTATAAAATCTAAACTTCGTACAGAAACCCCATAAAAATCAAGGCTTACAAAAAAAAAATATTCTAATCTCAATAATCCTAGTCTATCAAAGTCAAAGTCTCGACTTTAAAGTCACAAAAATGTCAAAAAGTCATAAGTGATTCCAAAGAAGTTTAAAAAATTTCAAACCAAAAATAATAGCCCAATTGAATTATTTTTTTAAACACATTGTTCACCAAATATTATTGTCAATACATAAGGGTAAATTTCATTAACATCCTTGAGATTGATCTAATTTCATTAACATCCTTCTTCTTTACTGACCAGCGAAGAGTTGGGTCGTCCTGCATTTCGAATAGGATAAATTCCACCGAAGCATTGAGCGACGTAAAGGCTTCTCGTTCTCTCTAAGCTGCGAGACCGAGCCGGTCCTTGATAGAAACCCTTTCTGTCCTCTTTCTCTTATTCTATGCGTCCTACTTGTCTTTGTGGGTGTCCTTCCTTTTCTCACCTCCTCGAGAGGACTCACCTCATTTAGCCTTGGTGATATCCTCGACATTCATGTACTTTTGTGCCTTTGACAACAGTTCGGGCATGTTGGAGGACAACTTCTTCAGGACAAAGAACAAAAAACTGGAGGAGCATAGACCTGCAATAAAGGAGGCTATAGTTACTTTATTGTCTAGTTCCTCGATCTAGAGAGCCTTCTCATTAAAATGAGTAAGGTAATTCTTAAGACTTTCATTCCAGTCCTGCTTAATGGTGAACAGGTGTGTAACCGTTTTCTAATGTCGTCGTCCCCCAATGGACTGGGAGACGAAGGATTTGCTTAAGTCCCCAAAAGAATGGGTAGAAGAGGGTTTGAGCTTTGCAAACCATTGTCGTGCAGTCCCCTAAAGGTTGATTGGAAAAGCTCTACATATGATTTCATCAGGCACGTTATGGAGTTGTATGAAAGACTTGTACATGTCAAGATGGTCGAGAAGATCTTTGGTGCCATCGAAGATCTCAATGGTATGCATCTTGAACTTTGAGGGTAGAGGGAAGTTGATGTCATCCGCCACAAACAGAGTGTTAGTACGTCTTACCAGATAATCCACCATCTTTGGCACTTGTGCTTTGATGGCGTTGAGGGCATCGCCAAGCTGGTTTTGCACCTCCTTAATTTTATCATCCCATTGGTTAGTGAAATCCTCTGTTGGATCATTGTAGTAGCTCTCACGATCCACATACTGGTTCTCCCCATCATCCTCTTGCCCAGTTTGGTCGGTGTGCAAGGGCAGAGCTAGTACATAGGGAGACCAATCTTACAAGGCAACTAGGCACTGATGGGGAACACATTGGGGTGCCCATGAGCTGGGTGCCACACTGGGGGAGCCCAAAGGGGAGAGGGTGTGGAACCTCTCCAATCGAAGGGAGTGTGACTCCTTCTACTTGCTAGTGGGCGACACTTGTTGAGGTGAGCATCAGTTGGAGAATTTGCCGGTATTAACTCACTAGCAACTGCATGGTCTCCAAAAGCTATTGCTCGACTACAAGATTCGCATTAGTGGGTGGTTCTATTGGTGGAAGCGGAGGCGAAGACTCCTTCCAATGAGTTGGGTCGTTGTATTCAGGTTGTTGATTCATTGACCTGGTTGTGATTGCCTTGGATTTGAAAGAAACTTGAAATGTAGTTTAAAACTCAGTCGTTTCTCACGGATGGCGTCAAACTGATGATGCACAAAATAGGTTTATGCATAATCAACAGTCGAATGTATGATTCAAAGTAATTAATTAAACAATTAATAAAACAATCAATATCATAAGGCAAAGAATTGGTAATTGGGCCAAGGTGACCAAACCACTAAAGACAACGACAGTGGCCGAAAAACTTTATTAATAAAGTAGAAGGTGTGTAAAAGAAAGAGAGAGGGAGAACAAAGGTGGGCACAAGGTAGCTATAAGAGAGATAGTTGTGTAAAAAGTGTATCCCTCATGTACAAAGGACTTACAATTTATAGACACAGAACCTTGGTTAAGGCAGTGGTGTGATGGGTAGGTTATAAGTTTTTCGGGGAGGATAGCTATAACTAGAGAGAGTCTCGACCTAGGAGAGTGGCTATCCCGGTAATTATTACTCATGTGCGCTAATATTCTTGGTCTCCTTGAACTTTAGACTGGGCCGAATCCATGAGCTGAGTTTAACCTACTTTTGAATTAATTTGGGCTTGCTTAATTAATTGGGTTTGGCCCAATAAGATTTGGGCTCATCAGTAGGTATTCTCTGAACATTTCTCTTTTAGCGCCTATGTTTTTTATCCATGTTTGTTTCTCTCTTTTTAATCATTACAGTGTCATTTTCTTCTAAATGAATTTCCACCATATCTACAAGGACATTATAAATTAGTGCAAATGTAAACCAAAGAGCAACCTGTAATTCACTAATTCAGCTGCAATATCTTGATGTTCACTATCTAATTTGCATTTGTTTCCAATGAATTGACAAGGCATCTGAACTATAATTGTTTGGTGAGAAGTATAAAAACGCTCAACAATTCATATCATTTGGTTGGTGGTGCTGGTGGTGGTTGGGGGGGATCTAGTGGACATGGCTAGTTTTGTTCTCTTAATTATGTCAATATCGGATTGCTTCTCCACATGTGATGACTATCAAATATTTTAATATATAGTATAATTATTTACTAATAAGAATTTTTTTTAAAAAATTATATTTTTATTTTTCATTTTACATTAACAAATGACATAATATAACATGAATTTTTTTTGTAAAATTTAAAATATTTGTTATTCTATCTTTGATTGAAGTATTTTTTGTCTAAATATAATATTTTAAACTTGAATAATTAAATATTATACACATACAAACTTCAGATAGTCATGATATAATTTACTAATGAATAATGAATATTCTAACGGACATGGATGACAGGGAACTAAGTGTTACACGCGTACAAATTTTAGGGAGTCTGTGTGTAAAATTTCAAATATTAAGGGGTTTAAGTGATTAAATAAAAAACATCAGGAGGTCTTAGTGTAATTCTCCCTAGATCTTATTATTTATTCATAGTCCGGTGAATAGTAAGTCACATATATAGAGTTGTATAAAGCTTCTCCAAAATTCCTATTGGAAGAAAAGTTCTCTTGGTGTGTTGCCTGAATAGTCAGCACGTGTGGAGAAGCAAGATTGACATGGTGTTGTTAATATTGTTAATGTGTGTCGCTTTCTATGCCGAAGGAAGAACATCCTCCCTCTAATCTCTCCGATATTGACAAAATTAAGAGAAAAAAACTAGCGATGTCCACTAGATTCTCTCCTCCCCCCCCCCCCCCCCCCAAAAAAAAAAAAAAAACAACAAAAAATAATGATATGGATTGTTGAGCGTTTTGATACTACGACATTTGTCTCCTCACCAAACAACAATACTTCAGATGCCTTATCAATTCATCGGTAACAAATGCCAATTAGATAGTGACGAGCAAGATATTGCAGCTGAATTAGTGAATTGCAGGTTGCTCTCAAAACTGGTTATGAACTGCAAACCCACAATCATCTTGCTGAAGAAATCTGAAGAAATCAGGGCAATGAAAAGATTCATTGAATATTAGCTAGTTGCTCTTTGGTTTACATTTGCACTAATTTGAAATGTCATTGTAGATATGGTGAAAATTCATTAGCAGAAGAAAATGACACTGTAATAAATTGATTCATTGAAATCATACAGGCTTTGTCACTCAAAAACTAAAATAAAATCATGCAGGCTTTGGGATTCACAATCCCATTATTATCAACAAACACTCAAATCATAGGTAAAAAGACAACGCAGAACAAACAGCAACTAGAAAAAATATTGCGTTCAATGCCTGCTGAACCGCACCAGAAGAATTAACAGAAGACCCTGTGGAAGAAGTATCTGGAGCCTCCTTCTTGGGGTTCGATGGTGCCTGAGCTGGTGCAGTACTCACGGAAATATACATCGGAAGGAGCACTTTGTCCACTTGATATACGGCTAGCTGGTTATCGGTATATACAGTGCCGATCACTGCTGCATTGACAATCCCAGTTGTAAGGTTCACATGACTCCCTGAGGTCGTGATATTTAGCGGAAACTCATTGTCGTCGCTACCACCAGCCTGAGTACTTACCGGGTTGCTCAGCGTTTGGAACTGCAAAAGAGAGATATAAGAAGGAATGATATGGAACTGTACCAACTGTGCTTTCTGTCCAGCATTCAATGCGTTCAGTGTGCCTGATTTAAGGCTAGCAAAGGCACTGTCAGCTGGTGCAAAAATGGTTAGACCCACGTTTGAATTGTTGAGCTGTGAGTAGATTCGAGAATCTACTTGCGTACTCTTCAGTAGTTTGATAAATGTAATATATCCCCCGGCCTTCTGTAAAATTGCGATGACATTGGCTGGACCTGATGGTGCTGGTCCCAGTGCCGTTACTTTTGGCGGCGGCAGTGCCGGTGGCTGTGGCAGTGGCAGTGCTGGCGCCGGAGCCGGAGACTGAGCAGAAATTGGAGTGCAATGGATGAAGAAGATCACCAGAAGAGGGAAAGATGAGAGTAGGTTCCTCATTGTCTTTTAATCTTGGAGTGCTGATTCAGTGGAGAGTGGCCTTAGATGAAGAGTTGTATTGGATGAGATGGTGTGGGAACACTGGAATCGGTGTGGTTTATATCAAGTGCGGATGAGATTGGAAGTGAGGGTGAAGTTAGGTAAAATTTTGCAATATAAGGTGGCGACGTAAGCGTCGCAACCTTTTCTTTTTTATTAAGGTAGACGGATCAGGAGGCAGAGAGAGAGAGATGTGTTGATAAGAGGGGTGTCCATGGGCAATCCGGCCCCTGGGTCCTCTTAATTGACCTGAAAAAATAGTCTTGAAATTTGATAATTTTGATAGTTAGTTCGCCCGAGTATGAGTTCAATATTTTTCAGGAAAGAGCTTGGGTCTACCCTCAAATTCATTACACAATTTAATAGCCCACCCGAAAAAAGTTCGATAAACTCGGCCCAAGAACCCACCTGTCCAACCCAGTCCAACCCTGCTCGTTCAGTCCAGCTCGAACAATTTGCCCACCTTTCTTTAAAAAAAATTAAAATTATAAATAAAATTATTCATAATTTATTTTTTTGTCCATTTTGACTCTATTTTTAATTTAAAAGTATAATTTTTAAAATATTCATTATTTTTAAATAAAATTATATATAAAAGGCTCATTCACTAAGCTCTCCCGTAGGCCCTCCTAATAGGCCCCACACCAATAAGCCAGCCAAGTCTGCCCTGCAGGCCCGTCCTGTGAGTGGCAAGTTAGGCTATGAATAGCCAACCACTATCTAAGGTCTGGCCTAACCCATCTAATAATTCACCCAAGTAAGGGTTTAGGCTTACCCTATCTAAGTCCAGTCCAAAAAAAATTTAGAGGACCGAGCTCGGTCCGCCCCATGAACACCCTGTGTACCCTCTAGGAACAATAAATGGAATAGCAAATATAGAAACTAACATTGAAACAACAAATAAGTGCACAAATAATTAAAAGATTTTACAGTTCACAAATTTAAAATTAGGCATATTATACGACAATTTTATTGTAAGGTATGAAATGCCAAGACTAAATAAATTCAATTACGCCAAGCAAAACTTGATGATGCACAAAAATGGTTTTGCACACCACCTGTCAAGTGTAAGTAATAAATGCAGTGAAAGTAATGAGAAAATTAGAGAAGACAAGATTTATAGTGGTTCGATCAACTCGACCTACGTCTATTCTTGAATGTCTCTAGTTGCCGGGTATTTTATTAATTTAAGGGTATGAAGAACAGAGAATACAAGCTTCGAGGGAGAATAGAGAATCAAGGAAGATGTGATGTTAGGCAATCAGTTTCATGCCACTCAAGTGTTGATGGGCACGTGCAATTTATAGTAGTCCCCTAACAGATTGGGGCTACTTTACAGCAACTAAAAGATTATTATGGTGGAGCTCACGATTTCTTCTTAACGGGCGAGGAGGTTGGGGAGCTCTCCATGAGATGCAGTCAAAGATGACGTGATAGTGGACCGTTTCCTTCGGTGGTGCTGATAGAACTTCTCATGCTCTCCCCCTTGATGACGTGGCTAAGCAAAGAGTCTAACTAGTTCTTGGACTATATTGGGCTTGGTGGATTTTCATGAGGTTGGGCTCCTCGATTGGGTTGGACTTCTCACATAAATTGGGCTATTTGGGCTTGACCCATCATTTGCCCCCTAATGCCCCGTGTTCAAGTAAAACTTGGAGAAGGAGGCATTGACTCTTCAATTTTTTTTTTCTTTGGTGCAAACTTCAAGTTTTTCCCACTTTATTTTGAAGAGGGCCCATAATTTTTAATTTGGGCTTTTTCCTTTTTTTTGAAAAACCCTAGACTATAAATGTAGTCTTCTTCTTCATGCTACCCATTTCACTCACTTTTAAGGTTGAGCACCCACTTCTTGAAAACCTTGAGAACTTAAGTCCTACCCATTTTGTTGAAACTAAAGTGTGTTCTCCTTGAATCTTTCCAAGAGTGGGATTTCTTCCTTTTTTTAGTAGAGTTTCTTAAGTAGGCAATGCCGATTGAAGAGGGAGTGGTTGAGATTGAAGAAAGGGAGGAGGTAGGCACCATTTTAGGAAGCTTGGAAGCTGGTTTTGAGCATTCGGGTGCTGTCCTGGTTAGCCTTGGTGCCAAAAATGGTGGACTGGACAGCTTGGGTGCCGAAAATGGTGGGTTGGACAGCTTGGGTTCGCAAACCTCTCCGTTGGACAACACTTTCGCTCGAACCAGCTCGCAGATAGGCAATCTGGGCAGTGCAGGAAGGCTGGACAGCGCGCAAGGAGGTTTAGACAGCACGTCTGGCGGACTAGACAGCGCAAACTGGCGGACTGGGCAGCGTGCGCGCGCAGTCTGGCGGACTGGGCAGCGCACGCGTGACTCCTAGGGGGCTGGACAACGTTGTGCAAGCTGGAGAAGGAGAAGTTCAGGCCAGCAGGAGTGCAGTACAGGAGCTGGGCAACAGCCTGGATCGTCTGGACAGCGCAAACGCGAGACTGGGCAGCGCGCGCACGTAGTCTGGCGGACTGGGCAGCGCGCGCGTGACGCTCGGTGGGCTGGACAGCGCTGTGCAAGCTAGAAAAAGAGCTGTCCAGGCCACTAGGAGTGCAGTACAGGAGCTGGGTAGCAGCCTGGATCGTCTGGACAGTGCAAATGCGCGACTGGGCAGCGCGCGCGCGATGCTCGATGGGCTGGGCAGCGCTGTGCAAGCTGGAAAAATAGCTGTCCAGGCTAGCAAGAGTGCAGTACAGGAGTTGGGTAGCAGCCTGGGTTCATGGGCAGGTCTGAGCGCCACTCCAGGCGCTGATTCGGGCATCGTAGGCGCTGATTTTGGTGCCGAAAATTCTGTTTTGTGCAATTTTGAAGGGTCAGACGCACTTCCAGCTACTAGGCAACTTCGTTTCGGCGAGCAAAGGCAGTCAGACACCCCTCCAAGGGTTGGGCTAGACATTGCAAGCAGTAAGGAAGTTCTGGGTGCTGCTTTTGACGATCAAGACCCTACTGTGACTCCTCCAGTTCAAGTTTCTCAAGACCTCCCAGATGGTGGTTTAGACTACTCCATACAGCCCCGGAAAAATAAACGTAAAGGTAAAGTGGGACTCGATGATGATGGGTCTAAGGTGAGTACCATTTCCAGTCTGTTTCGTTTAGATGAAGATATCTCGTAGCTTGTGTTTACTTATTGCATTCCTCTGACCGTGCTGTACCGTCGGGCTGAGTTGGGCGAGCTTGCTTGTGATGACTCTTCTGGTGATATTGTTGTTTACAATGAGATGCTTGAGGCTGGGTTAAGATTCCCCATGTCCTCTTCCATTTGTCGCGTTTTGCACTACTTTTTATTGAATCCAGGGCGACTAGCACCTAATAGTTGGAGAGTTCTACTAGGCTTTCTTGTATTGTGGAGAAAAGTGCACCATGAGGATGCTTCTCTTGTGGAGTTTCATGCGGCATATAACTTGAGCGAAACCCCTGCACCAAATAGGGGGTGGTACTACTTTACCACGAGAAGTGGTACAGTGCTTACGAGAACGCGCTCTAATTATGGCGGCTGAAAATCTTGTTTCTTCTTTGTTGGTGGAGAGTGGGCTACAGAAGCCGACAGAGCTTTGGTGCCAACACATTGGGGTGCTGCTAGAAAACCCAGTACGCTGCACATTTTTTTCTTTTTTACATATATGTATACATGTGTGCTCACCATTTCCATGCAGACACGTCTGTGCTTTCTCGAGACCAGGAGTGGAAGTTGGAGGCTGTCAAGGCTTGCCCTTGCAAAGATTTGGGAGTTCTCCTACCCAAGTATACTAGGGTTGTTGCTCCATCTCAGAAATCTAGTGGTTCTTCTTCAAAAAAAAGGGGTGAGCTAGTTTCCTCTTTTAATTTTCTTCCCTCGGTATTTTCCATTTACCTGACACTTCTCTGCTCTTGCAGCAAGTAAGAGGGTGGTGGTGTCCCGTTTCTCTAGTAGGAGTCCTCCCTCTTCCAAAGTGGCAAGGACGGATGATGCCCCCCAAGTGACTCCTACGGTGGTTCCTCCTCAGCTGGTGACTTCTCTAGTTGCTACTCCAGAATCTTCCTTGCCGGGCACATCCTCCCCACCTTCATCCTCTCCTCGTGCTGCCTCTCTTTTGTCCCCTCCTCGTGCGAGAACTTCTATAGGAGTGCCGATTTGGGCTGGTCATATGATGGGGAGTCCTCCAGCCATCAGGGCAAGACTTGGGAGGTTTGTGTTTGGACCCGAAGTTTCTCAGCTTAGCGCTTCGGGTACCGATAGGATCATCAATACGTATTTGAAAGGCCTGGCTCAGGTGAGAGTCCACTATTCCCCTTTCTCCAGTCGTTTTCTTTCTTGTATTCTTGACTTTTCTCAACCTCTTATCTCCTTTTTTTTTTTTTAGGTTTCGACTTCCTCTATCTGCTTGCTTTCGAGGGCCTATAATCATGAAAAACTGAAGTCGGATCTAAGCCTTGTGCAAAAGGAGCTTCTTACAGCTTAGGGGAGGATTTTCAAGCTTGATTCTGAGCTTTTGGCGACCCGTGAGAGGGACGCGCTCTGGGAGGGTGAGCTTGTGGCGGCTCATGAAAGGGCTTGAAATTTTGAGTCTAAGCTTTTGGCGACCCGTGCAAGGGACGCGCTCAGGGATGGTGAGCTTACTACAGCCCATGAGAGGGCAACTAAGCTTGAGGCTGAGCTTCTAGCGGTCCGCGAGAGGAATGTGCTCAGGGAGGCTGAGCTTGCAGAGGCCTATGGGGGGGCCATGCTCAGAGAGGCTATTGTTGCCGAGGCAAAGTTGAAGGCTGCTTGGGAGAGAGTTTCCCATGCTGAGGAAGACTTGGAGAATGGCCTCGTAGATACTTTCATTGATGGTTTCGAGGATCTCCGAGGAAAGGTTTCTGCCGTTTTCCCTGGTATTGACTTCTCACATTTCGTGCCCACTGACGATAGTGATGAGGGGGGATCTGATGATGTTGATAATGACGAAGAGGAGGTGGAGGACGACCATGAGAGCAGTTAG